AAAAAAAAAAAAAAAAAAAAAAAAAAAAAAAAAAAAAAAGGCCATTCTTTTTTGTTTATTTTACATCTTACTACTTACCTATCTTTCAACAGCACTTACCTTTGTTCCGACGAAAAACCCATTTCCTCCTGCTTTGAGTTCATTTGTTAATAATTTCATATAGCCAGGTAAATCATCGGCCTCGACCTTTTTCATTTTCTCGGCCTAAAATTAATTTGAAAATTAATTCATTCAATATAACAATTATAATTGCTTGCTTTTAAGAAGGTTAATTTTTAATCCAACTCGTACGTTTTTTACTTTTTTTTTGCGATTTATTTAATTATTTTTGGTTAAGGGCTGTTTTAATTTAAAGCACAGCTTCTACTTTCCAAACGTATCTTCTCTTATTTCTTTTTATTGGTCATGTTTTCCATGGAAATTTAACGGCCAATCGATGTTTCAATATGGGCCAAGAATATCAATATTTTTCTGACCCTGTTTTGAGGTCTATAACAAGAAATAAGTACAAGTACTTCCGATGTCGACGGTCGAACCTGCCCCGGTACCAGTACACTGGGATTTGTATAAAAATATACCTATATATGGAGAGAATCTGTATAGGCTTTGCCTGATATTCCTTCCAATTGACCTGTAACAACTTTGTCAATAAAATTTGTTGAAATGAAATGAAATACCTATAGTTACATCCATACTTACCTTCAAAACGGGGTCCTTTTCAAAAAGTGCTGGTATAAGTTTCTTATCGACCAGATCATCTATGATGTTCATTACCAAATCGATCCTGTACTGTTCCATCAGATCATCGCTGTACATGTCTGTGTAATAGGTACGAGTTATTGGAAAGGTAGTATGTTGTTATTATCTTTGTAAATTATATAAATAATAATTTTAGATTCCTTTCTGAACGTGAAGCTTACTAATACAAAAATGAGACTAAGCTAAAAACAAATGTAGTTTCAATTTAACACGATTTTTTTTAATAAAGCTGTCTATCAGGATGATATACTATAATGTTCATATCTGTTTTCATTTGAAAGATATCCTGTGAAAATGCGTTTTAGAAAACATCCTTTTTGTTCATCTAAACTAAAAAAAAAGTCACAACGTTCTGATGCATCAATACATATGCAGCAAAAATAATCGATAAAATAAACATCAGGAATAAATTAAAGTGTACTTACTAAACTTCCTACCAAGAAATCTGAGGATGGCCGGCGACTGACTGAGAACAGTTCCGTCGTCCAGCTCCAGGATAGGAAGGGTGTGCGTAGGCGTGGCTGTAAGTCATCAACAATGACAGGTTTGGTTTGGTTTGGTTTTACATTGTTTAACGTCAGCTAAGGTTATTTAAGGACATACAATGACAGGTAATTAATTACATACTCAGAACCATTGGTTTGAATTCATATACTGATGTCAATGGTTATTGATAATGTAACCCATTTTATTTTGTTGTGTCCAGTTTACTCTGAGCTTAGAACCAAATATATTAAACCCTATTATTTCCATCGTCCGTCCGTCTATAAATCAATATAATTATTCGCCTGCAAATATGTAAAACAATTGAGAAACCTTAGTAAGTATCTAATTTAGGCAACTTCTAAAAGAAAGTCTTGATTTAATATCTGAGCAATCGTGTATGTTCCAGCTTTGTGCCACTGACAATGATTATATATTTTCTTTTGTATGTTGACAACATTGCTATGATGTCATCTTGTATTTTACTCTATGTTCACCGCCATCTTACATAAATGGATTGTAATATTTACTTGTATGCACATGTATATTGTAACTCATATATGTTATCTGTTGCATTTGGAAATAAAGAAATTGAAAATTGTAACATTTTCTATTGGACAAGACATATATTACTACCGGGGGAACATACGTTCTACTTCTTCTTCTTTGTTTGTTATTTTGATGTTTTTACATCAAATAATAAATTCAATGTTGTACAAAAGCAAAACAGCTGGGCAAGATTGAAAGGCAGTATTTGCATTGCATTATATACAAAATGCAAAAATATGAATTAAAACTTCCATGCTTTAGTCAAACTGGTTGACACATATGTTATCAGTATAGTGTGTTACGCATCGGAGGTATGGGGCTCGTGCAAAGGTATAGATATTGAGAAAGTTCACCTCGAGATTTGTAAAAAGAGTTTATGTGTCAAGAAATCCACATGTTATGTTTTTATCTATTTTGAATTGGATAGATTTCCAATTGTACATACCCATTACCCAGCATTATAATGTGATTAAGTACTGATTCAAGCTATTAAATACTAGTGTTCTCAAAACTGTTTATGAGAAACTCGTGAATATGCCAAAACGGAATAGGGTTTCTAATTTGGTATCATTTGTTAAAGATAAAAAAAATCACTCGGTTTCTGTGAAAAGTGTGGTTAAAACAAAAGAATTGAAATATGTCTGAGGCCTTGCCACTAATTTACAGAGCATTAGAACTGTTTCGTGAATATAGGTCCAGGTGTGCACTTGTTATGTTTCCGATTACATTGTAGATCGATCTATCATCGTGAAAACTTTAAAATGCTTTTAAATGTGTGGTAGATTTTAATTGTACATGGGATTAAGGTCACCTTCTAGCTTCGAGCTAGAGAAAATTTCCCTTTAGCTCAGTGGTAGAGCGTCTGACTAGGAACCTGGAGATCGAGGGTTCGATTCCTGATGGAAGCACACTAATAGCTTTCCTTTTACACATGGAAAATAACCGTACAAAGTACAAGCACATTTTCAACAACACAACATATATTGAACATACCCTAAAGGAAATTGTGTTTCACAATTGCCATTCCATTTGAGGCAATATATTGACCTCAACACTAACCATATTGAATAGCATTCCATTTGGATAAAAAGTCGATTTTGAAATAATGTTCTGTCAAAATAGACATAGCGAAATGAGTTTATATAAAGGGAGACAGAGAAAAAAACAATCAGTGTTCTAAGTGTAAAACAATAGGCCTGCATCGCTCACCTGGTATTAATCTCACAATTGTAACCTTTACAGTAAGCGAACTAAAATGAAGCTGCAGGCAAAATATCAATGTTTTGATTTAAAAGTCATTCAAAAATACATTTAACCCCTGTGACATTAAGTTGAACAAACTTTATCCTAGAATGCAAACTGCCAAATATCACCACCCTTTACCTTTTGGTTATTGAGAGGATGATTTAAAAAAATTATGCACAATTAACCAGATGTGACCTTGAAAGTGTGTCAAGGTCATTCACATGAACAAACATTCACCCTGGACGTTTTGTTTATTCAGAAGAAGTCGTTTAAACACATTTGACCCCTGTTACCTTGAATATGGGCAAAGGTCATTCATTTAACAAACTGTGTAGCCCTTCATCCCAGCATGTTACTGGCTACATATCATCAACCTAAGCCTGATGGTTATTCAGAAGAAGTTGTTTAAATGCTTTAATCTTATTTGATCCCTGTGACCTTGAATATGAGTAAAGATCATTCATTTGAACAAACTTGGTAGTCCTTCATCATAGCATGTTACTGGCGGAATATAATCATCCTAGGCCTTTGGATTATTCAAAAGAAGCCGTTAAAAATATTTGAACAAATTTGACCACTGTGACCTTGAACATAGTCGAATGTCATTCATTTGACCAAACTTGGTAGTCCTTCATCCCAGCATGCTATTGTCAAAATATCATCGTCCTAGGCATATTAGGTGATGAGAAGAAGTTGTTTAAAGTAAAAAGTTGACAACGGACGAACGGACGACGGACGCCGCACCACGGCATAAGCTCACTTGACCTTCGGGCAGGTGGGCTAAAATTAACGGGGCCAGACCAGGAGTCGAACGCTTGGCCTCAGATCAATTAGTCTCGTTCAACCAGACTCTTGTTGCCTGCGCAAGCTACGCCGAACAGAGAGTCTGATCAAACCCAGTGCTTTCGTTTTGTGACATCATAACAAGGCTTACGTGTAACAGAATTCTGGTAAATTATTTCATTGGTCAAAGGTTGACACACCCTTTTCAACTTTTGAAGTCAGAATTTGAGTGGCGCAAAATTTCATTGAATATTTCAATTCATGAAAAAAATACCTTTACATGTATTCCTTAAGTATCCATGATTTCACTATTAACGAGAAAAATGTAAGAAAATGCTTCAAAAAGAATGATTTCATGTATTTTCCTTGGATATTTTACAATAATTCATGAAGCTAACAAGGCTATTGATATCAGTCAAGCCAGATTACCTAAGTGAGAACCTATATTTTTTTGAATTGGGCACAGGTAAAATCTCACTTGCTTTGCATGTTTTTTTCCAACCTCAGTCAGCCTTTATTCAGTGAAAATATATGGCATTATTCTGGAGAACTGACATTTTTTTATTTATTTTTTCTCGGTAATAGTACACGGATACTTCAGGAGTGCATGGACAGGTAAAAGAAAATCATTAATTACCTTATTCTTTGAAATGTTTTAACGGTGTTCACATAACGTCCAGAAACGAAAGTAAAAACACTGCCCTCTGGTGATGGTAATTCTAAAGTACTGTGTTTGACCAGACTCTTGAATTACAAGTGATCAAGCGTCTGGTTAAACGAGACTACAGATCAATATACTGTCACTCTAACCATCTATATCAATACTGAATTCAGGGGGAGATTACTGCATTAGGAAAAACTACGATGGGCTCTCTGGTGGTTTCCCTGCAGTGGGATAGCGATCTTTAAGGGGATATTTAGTACGCTTGCACTTAACCATAGCAATATACACGCCCATCATACAAAGACCCACATTTCCCTACTCATGTCTGTGATATGTTTTACACAACGTCTATCTCGTTCTGCATATCTAGCCATATAAACCTAGGCTGGCGCTATCGCTGTACAGTGTTTGTACAAGTGTCACATTAGTGTGCCTGGTCATGCTGAACTGCCGACTTAATGGGTCATATGTGTACCTGTGCCGTAGAGCCTTGACACACACATATATTATATATAAATGTACGTACATTGCTTCATTGCATCCCATTGTTCTTTGCTAATGCGGACGTCCTCAAACAGCACCTCAGCCTCCGTGAGTATGATCCGGGTACTTTCGGCCCTACCACGACCATTGAAGTAAGTGACTTTCCATTTGTTACCGGACATGTTGGTTACAGGTGATCAGTGCTCAGATGACGTCACATTCTGCACCAAGGCAACGCAGCTGATTTACGTAGAGTCACTCTGCATGACGACTACACCATCATTTTTACGCTCCAATAAAATAAAATAAAATAAATGTATGAGAACTTTCTGCGCTGTAGGCCGGGATATATTCAGTGTAATTGAGCACGGGGCAATAGAATAAGCATTGTAGTACTAAGTGATATTCGCTGACGCAGTGATGTGAGTACCGTTTTAATGGCAGTGTATGTATCTTAGGCATATTGTGATACTTGCTGTGATCTGAAATAATACTCATAACATCATAGCGAAGTTAAGGCAAGTGACATTACGGGTACGCTTGAGCAACTGTTTTAGTTCGCGGTATTATATTGTATGTGCATTCGGTGACTCCGTGTCTAAAAATAGTACATTCACGCTCACAAGACACTGTGATTGTTAAAGAAAAAAACCACTAAAACATTTATTCACTAATCATCAATTCAATGCGTCAATAGTTGTTTGACAGATACGGTTAAATAAATACAAATATATGATATCGTTTTGGGATATTAACGGACGATATTGATTCAATTCCTAGTGATAAAAGATGAACAGAAATCGTTTTCCTGTCATGTTACAAAAGACAAGTACACTGTAACAGTTATTTACTTTCATTGCATAGACGTTGTAATGGGGGGAAAACACGAATATCTAGCTTATTCATGTATAATTGAAAGTTTTATATTATAGATGAATTTGGTTTACGAATATATAATATTCAATGCATCGATCGTTACATACACGGGGCGTACCTAGCCATTGATCGCAGCGGATTCAGTAAGGAGTGGGTCCAGGACAGGACCTTCATAGGGGGACATGGGGGTGCAACAAAAAGTGGATTGTTTTTTTGTGTTTTTTTTGTGTTTGAAATTTTATAGATTATCCTGCGTATTCGCATAAAGGCAGCTTCGCGTCTGCTTACAAGTTACGTAGCTTACGTAAAGTGACACGTACGCCTCATCGTTTGATAAGTAGTTAGTTTTGAAATTCAATATTATTTGCTCTTATCATCAACGTCACCATCTCTCACGCAAATCCAATTAATTTTTTAAACGTTTATTGATAAAAAAAACACACACCAATAATTACAGTATTGAGAACTCTCGATCTTGGGACTACCAAGCGGCTCATTTCCATTTTCCCCCTGTCAAGGACATGTGGATATACTAGATTCACGGTATTATCTACAATTGCCGAAACAGGCACAAAGACGGCATATATCTTCCTCTTTGAATTTCCTACGACACAAATAATCAATTGACACAGAGCATCGAACAGACACCATTACTAAGAAACATGTATATAACTGAGTGTAATCATTTTAACATTTACACTATAACAGCATAAAACGGAAATTAAGCTATCATTGAACTGATGTAAAAAGAAATAACTAAAAGTCAAATATAATATTGTATTTATTATAGCCTTGAACTTTTGTAATATGAAGTATCAAGTCAAACTTGTTTAATTATAACGTTTTGTTTGTTTGGGCTTTAAACGTCCTTACAATAGCCAAGGTCGTATGATAACGGGAGATACAACAGCCAAGGTCGTATGACGATGGGAGACACGACAGCCAATGTCGTATGACGACGGGAGATACAACAGCCAAGGTCGTATGACGATGGGAGACACGACAGCCAATGTCGTATGATAACGGGAGATACAACAGCCAAGGTTGTATGACGATGGGAGACACGACAGCCAATGTCGTATGACGACGGGAGACACAACAGCCAAGGTCGTATGACGACGGGAGACACGACAGCCAATGTCGTATGCCGACGGGAGACACAACAGCCCAGGTCGTATGAAGACGGGAGAAACAACAGCCAAGGGCGTATGACGACGGGAGACACAACAGCCAAAGTCGTATGACGACGGGAGATACAACAGCCAAGGTCGTATGACGAGGGGAGACACAACAGCCAAGGTCGTATGCCGACGGGAGACACAACAGCCAAGGTCGTATGAAGACGGGAGAAACAACAGCCAAGGTCGTATGACGACGGGAGACACAACAGCCAAGGTCGTATGACGACGGGAGACACAACAGCCAAGGTCGTATGACGACGGGAGACACAGCCTTAAAGAGAAAGTAGAAAGAAATGAAGATAGGAGAGATAGGAAATGAAGTCATCCCAAGTGTTGCATTGGGGACAGAAGAACAATTGTGTTTTTTTCCCATGTCCATTTCGTAAAAAACACAGAAGAACATCCCAACCCATCCCCGGATTATGTAAGGGGACGCACATTAGTCAGCTTATACGATACACAAAATGTGATACAGCAAGTCTATTCTTGGTTTCTTCAATATCCTCTTAACAAAAGACAAGGAATAAATAATCCCCCCATTCTACAGAGAAAGGGGGAACATTAGTCGCCTCTTACGACCATGCAGTGGAATACAGCAGGCCTCTTCTTTCTCCAAACATGCACTGATCATGACTAGTAAGCAATGTTTTGCCTACCTTGACAGGTATGTGAAATTCTTCTAATTTCTTGGAACTCTAATATCAACGCTTACTTATTAAAACAAACACACACAAAATAAAAACAAACAAAAAACAGATATAATTTGAACACTTCTGAAAATTTGCGTTTTATTTGTAACTGCACAATCCTTGTATGAACAAAAATCATCAGGTACCTGTATAACAGTTCCGTAGATAAATAATGTCGACATAATTTAAAAATCAACACTGGACATATAATGTACGGAACCATAGAGAACGCCTGAGCTCGGTCGTCTATCGAACGATACTTCCAAGTATGTCGGCAATAATATAACAATTTGAATTGATTAATTTATGAAGTTTGTCAGCATTCCTTTGTTTTACGATTAAAGATAATGGATACCTACATGTAATATGTTCCATGTTACCAGATGTTAAAGGAACCAAACAACGACTGTCACCAACCTGTTATCTCACTGAACCGTGAACGGCGCCTTATTTCAAACAAGTACATATTGTTTCAATCCGACGAGCCTTTTTTCACTGCGTATACGCTAATTTAAACGCAGTCAGAGTTACGAAGCTGAAGAAGGGAGAGAAATAAACATAATGGGGTATATCTGTATTTATGTCAATGATGACCAAAACTTTAGAATGATTGAACGGTATGAATATAGCAAATGTACCATGAAGAAGTAGTGGGTTTTATAAAAATGTTTGTTATCGATGAAATACAATGCCGTTCAATTCTTATACATGTTTGCACTTAAGTTCAACATTCATTAATTAAAATTAAATGTTAAATATTTGTTTCTATATACATGGCTAATGAAACAATCGTCTCTTTCATTTTTCTCTTGAACGGAAAATCCGTTCAAATCTGTCAACAAAGTCCTTTCCAGATTGTACCATCTTAGTCCAAATTCGTCTAAGAAAGCTACGATCTTCATCTTCAATTTCCTTTCTGACTGTGTGGCGAACCTCTTGTTTCATTTTGTTAAGTTTTTGTTTGATTTCTTGCTCTCTGGCTAGAAAAGTCATCTTCATCGAAACTATCATGTCCTTTTCTTGGCTTTGGAGCTCGCGTAATTTCTTTTCACAGCCAAGCATCCTTTCATGAAGTTCATCTGACGAGCTGGATGAACTCAACATTGGACTGCGATGAGTTGCTGGCCCTTGTAGATTTAGATCACGGCCTTTTGGTAAATTCTCCAGAAACTTATTTGCGTTATCTCGAAAATTCTTATGTTGTTCCAGCTCCTTGTGAAAAGTTTGTTGCAGCATTTGATTCGAGTCTAATTGTGGCTTATATTTCTCACGTAATCGATTACGGTATTTGCTTAGTTCCTCACCAGCCGCATGTTCATATTGTTTTTTTATTTCATTTTCTCTGTCTTTCAAAACTTGTTCCGTTTCCTTAAATATGCTGCTGTCGTAACATTTGCCATTGTTTTCGTTAACCATTTTATCAACTATTTTCAAAAGTTCATGAACCTGATGTTCAGCTTCTGTATCTTCAGCACAGTTGTTAAATGTAAGAAAACGAAAATCGCAGCTTTTTAAAATGGCTGTTAATTCTGGTGGGGCTTCGTTGAAAAGGTGGTATTTTGTCTTCCTACACCTGTCGAGCTCATCTTTGCGGGTAAATATAACAATAAGATACTTGTTCATTTCCTCGCCGAAAGCGTGCTGAAGCATCCGAACGGCATCACGTTCCTCTTTCGTGAACCTAGTGATTCCAACCACCAGGAGTATTGCGTGCGGGCCAGGGGCGGACATCCCCACGCATTTCAAAATCTCCATAGTTATAGAGTCGTTATTAAGGCCTGAAAATGTATGAAATGTGACATTCTAAAAACTTTTATGTATGAGCATGTACAAATGTACAACAAAATGGCATTGCATGGAATTAATTTAATAACCGATGTCCACATAACCATGCATAACAATTAACCCTAAATGCACATATAACTCTGCATGATTAGAATTAAAAGTTTGTTATTTGAACGTCATAAGTGAAAAGGTTTAGCAGGAATATGTGCAAGAACGATGAACAAGGGGAAGTAACCCCCACACTAACGCCACCAGTGACCAAGCTGGCAGAATGTCAGCGAAGCATAGCAGTGACTCGCTGAAACTTGCGCATATCTTAATCTCTATTATTTATAATATTTAAGGTGAAATTAATTTGCATACTTTACCTTAAAACTGTTATAACTAAATGTCAATCAAACGTTGATTAAACAGATGTACCTGTATCAAACAACCCAGGAGTGTCGACCACTGAGAGCGTGCGTCCGAACCTCGTGCTGGTCCCCATCCGGCATACTTTAGTCACCGACCCACAAGACATCTGCGAGCGGAAGGCTTCCTTCCCAAGTAATGTGTTTCCAGTAGCACTTTTTCCTGTACCAGTCTTCCCGATAAGTATCAGCCGGGTCTCCTGTTCTACCTCTACGATTCAGAAACAGTCAAATATTTAAACATGAGTTTCCACACAAAATGACAAATCCAAGTTGAGTGAAACAAACAGATACAAAGGAAGAAAACATATATAAATCAGGACCTCGATATCACCACAAAGAGCCGAAAGCGAAAGAATGTTTACATATACTACATGTCAGAGTCGCTATGATTTTAGAAAAAATGTGAATCACTAACAATCGAAGACGTGAAGAAACTGCTAATAATAGAAATCGGGCAATATAACGACCTTTATTTTTCTTTTACAATGTCAGACTGAAGCATCTAGGCTATGTAAACTATAACATGATCATTGGGGGTGTCATTTTTACCGAAAGTCGACCTAAACCCCTAAAACATGTAAAATTACTCTGAACACCTTAGTTTAGGGTCCAAATATAGCTGTAACAGATTCACAGGTCCCTGTGACAGATTCACAGGTCCCTGTGACAGATTCACAGGTCCCTGTGACAGATTCACAGGTCCCTGTGACAGATTCACAGGTCCCTGTGACAGATTCACAGGTCCCTGTGACAGATTCACAGGTCCCTGTGACAGATTCACAGGTCCCTGTGACAGATTCACAGGTCCCTGTGACAGATTCACAGGTCCCTGTGACAGATTCACAGGTCCCTGTGACAGATTCACAGGTCCCTGTGACAGATTCACAGGTCCCTGTGATATAAACCTAATAAGTAGTATTTTATGGATCAACAGGAAGCATCTGGCCGGAATTTCCTGGTATTTTGGTACGTAGCCATTGAATGCAAAATATGCTGCGACATTAATACTCCGACGCTCGTTGTTAGTGAACCACAATCAGAACAGGTACAGATATTTGTATTGTCTTCAGTCTCAAAGCTTATAAGGCGAAGTATTGTTACGGGGCCGGCTCTTAAACATGTATATAAGAGCAAACATACATCACCAGGAACTGGGAAGACAACTGCAACCGGAAGTTAACCTAGGTTCTCAAGTATGGAAGGCGATAAAATACATTTACTTTATCCCATATATGCATCACGGCCAACCATAAATGTGTATATTTGATCATCATCAACTAAAGTGTTGGTTAAAACAGTGAGCACCATACTTATTTTGATCCTTAGTAGCAGACTAAGAAAACTTTCTGACCAGTAATTTAAAACTATTAAGCTATCAATATATAATTTATATGAGGAAAATGGATGTCCTTAGACGAAATATCCTATCAGGAAGATATGAGAAAGATAACAATTGATATAAATATATCAGAATTTCGGCTGACGTAGAGTTAAATACCAAATGGCAAGTTACGTTATATCATTTCTCCACTAAGATTACCTTGCTTCGTAAACAATAGATATTGGTATCTAATAGTTACAAATAAAACACGGAAACCACAACATACACTCAAAGTAAGTGTCGGAACATAAATTCTGCACAAAAATACAATACTATCAAACACGAAGGCACCAAAACAAATAGTAAAAGGCCTTAGACCGAGAAAAAAACGGAGGCAAAACATCTTTTTTTTTGTTTTGGCATTCCCTGCGTTGCATTTGCATGATTTGGGAACATGTTGTTGTTTTTATAACACAAGAAACTCTTACCTCGCTGATTTAATTTGACGACGGGGTTTACTTTCTGCTGATGGCGAATTGCAAAACAGCCTTCACAAAGCACAGCGTCCGAACTACACAGATATTCACATTCCTCACATTCCCACTTAGGGTCGTCATCTATAGGATTTGGAGGGAAAATATAGCAATGTAGTTCCAAGGGTTGTAAGTCTTTAAACACGCCTATTGCTTTTTTCTGAATATCGGAAAATTTCCGGATTCCACTCCAGAGTAGACTGTTTCTTATATTACGGTAAAATTATCTGCATTGAAATTTTAAAATATTCTAAAGCACACCTATGTATGACATGTCTAATTGGTAAAACAATTATCTTTGTATCATCAGGCTAATTGGAATATGCATTATATATGGTATTTGCCGTAGCAGAAGATAGCAATTAACTAGACAACAGACATTTTTAATCAGCTTTCTAGTGATTTTTATCAAATGAGCAACATTTCATGATTTTTTAAAGGGAAAGTTTGTCCATATCTGGTTGATTCTTGTACTTATTTCTGGTTCATAAAAGTATTATATTCTCATACTCTGATTGTCATATGAAAGATTTCAAAATTGTATTTACAGGTGTTTTTTTAATTCTCTTATATTGTGTCTTATCTGTGTTGCGAATCTCACATCCTTTGCATTTTCTTATGCTCGTTTCTGGTAACGTCACCAATTCATTAATAACATATTAATTTTCTTACCATCATGTGACAATTGTGTATAATTATATTTGTCTGTATTACGGGAGAAGTCAATTGATAAATTGGAAAAACGTACGGACTAATCCCTTTGTCAATATGTTGTCAATAAAATATGTTTAAACTAAAACTGTACAATGTTAACATGAATTACAGCGCGGTTAATACTGACGACCTTACGTAGATGATCACACATAGTAATCACTTATTGAAGCTTTTCAGAATTTGCTAAGTAATTAAAATTATGTAATGTTATAATGTATCGTACTAATTTGTCCGAACTGTTTCCTTTATTCTGTATACATGCTGTGCGATTAATTGTTTATCTAGTGTCTCTAGGGCCATATTGTATCACAATGCCATTGAAAATGCAAATTGTAGTCTTTGAGCTTGCAAAAAGCAGCAGTGTATAAATATGATATGTGAGAAGCAAAATATGTTGTGTTTACATAACTAGTTCACGGAGTTATAGAAGACTGTGCTGTTTATATCGTCTAGGCTATGATGATATTTTAGTTTTATCCAGACAATAAATATCAAATGTCATACGTAAATAAAATTTTATGAGTAGGATTTAAATAAGAAGTCAAAATTATAGCTAAGAAAATAGACAAGCATGCCGAGTAACAACGGTAAAGTGGTGGTACGCCCACGAATTATCAAGAGAGAGAGAGAGAGAGAGAGAGAGAGAGAGATAATAATAACAAAAATAAATAAACAAAAATTGATGGTACGTCTACAAAAAAACACCTGAGAGGGTGAAGAAGGAGAAATAAAAGAGAAAGATAATGAACAAAAATAACAGAATGGTGATGATACGCCTACGAAGTAACAGAGTTGTGATGATACGCCTACGAAGTACCAGAATGGTGATGATACGCCTTCAAAGTAACAGAGTGGTGATGATACGCCTACAAAGTAACAGAGTGATGATGATACGCCGACGAAGCAACAGAGTGGTGATGATACGCCGACGAAGTAACAGAGTGGTGGTGATACGCCTACGAACTAACAGAGTGGTGATAATACGCCAACGAAGTAACAGAGTGATGGTGATACGCCGACGATGTAACAGAGTGATGGTGATACGCCGACGATGTAACAGAGTGGTGATGATACGCAGGCCTAAAAAGTGACAGAGTGGTGATGATACGCCTACGAAGTAAAAGAGTGGCGATGATACGCAGGCCTAAAATGTGACAGAGTGGTGATGATACGCCTACGAAGTAACAGAGTGGTGATAATACGCCAACGAAATAACAGAGTGATGGTGATACGCCGACGATGTAACAGAGTGATGGTGATACGCCGACGATGTAACAGAGTGGTGATGATACGCAGGCCTGAAAAGTAACAGAGTGATGATGATACGCCTACGAAGTAACAGAGTGGCGATGATACGCCTACGAAGTAACAGAGTGGCGATGATACGCCTACTAAGTAACAGAGTGGTGATGATACGCCTACGAAGTACCAGAGGGGTGATGATACGCCGACGAAGTAACAGAGTAGGGAAATAAGAGAGAGATAATTTAACAAAAATAACAGAGAGAGGGACAGAGTGATTATATTACTTACAAAATTGCAAAGAGAAACTGACGATAGGGCCCAAAAGAACGGAAATAGTGGAAACCAGCCTTCGATAAAGTAAAAGAAAAGAAAGAGAGAGAAAGAGAGAGAAAGAGAGAGAGGGGGGGGAGTACATGTAGCAATATACTGTGCTTACACAATACAAGAGAGAGAGAGAGGGAGCTATAGTGATTAGCTACAAAACAGTAGACGGATCAGGGAAGGTTGATGATAGCCCGTAGACAACAGTGACAGTACTTACATTGTCTGGTAGCCGGGCACTCAATGGAGACGTTATGATACTCGGGCTCCATACTCAGCAACATGTAATGGCAGAATGTGCTCATTCAACATATAAACCCAGTAAATATTACCGTGTTAAGGAAATTCCACAAGTCCACGCCAACTCCACACATTATATACATGTGATGCGGAAGAAAATCACTTAAAATCACTATTGTTCCTATACTATTAATAGTCGCAAAGGTCAAACATTAAGATTGTCGGTCGACTTTTACGTCTATTGAAAGTGAGTCAGTCGGGGAAGTAAAGTCTTCTATATGTTATATGTAGTTTAAGCACACGTTTGTTTATCAACTAAACAACTTGACAGTTGGAGATCGTGGATAAACGCGATAACAAATCGACTTAAGGCTTCATGCAGGTGCCCGACTTCCGTGAGATTTGTCATTAGACAAAAAATCTAACAAGCCATGAGATAAGAACGTACATAAGAAACCAAAATTATTTTTAATCAGCCTTTGTCAACAGTGATAGTCATGAATATGGCTACTTCAGTTCTAAGCATATTCTGTACGAGGAAGCTGTTTTAGGGTAGGATCGGGAATGATCTGTGAATGAATTTTCAGAACTCATTTTCGTTATAAATTGTTATTCTCTGTCACCTCGAATCGCCATATGTTTCTTAGGCTTGCGAAGTGTCCTACACTTCAATCGGGTCTGGTGATCCCACTATATACAGAGTTATGCCGCTTTGTTCAGTTTTGATACCAAAGGCTGTCCTGAGGTGTGGGGTTACGGATTGCCTACATCACGTGATCATGTTTGTCTTAATTGTTTTACGCTACCTGAAAATATATGCAAAGTTACATTGTTTTCAATTGCACCTTTATACGTTTACGAAACAAGCCTAAGATGTGTTTACTAAAGGAGTAGAACACTACTAATGCAACCATTATATCATAAAATGCGAGATTCCTGCGCATGCGTGACCACGTAACATCCCTTCTTCGAGCACGGTCATTTTCCCCTAATTTTCGTCTATTTCTACCCCACATAACCATTCACACTTTCCCCCTATACCTACTACATACCGTTCTTCCATTTACCGTTAAGATTCGCTTCCCTTATTATCTTGATACCTTATTCCCAATCTTTTCTCTTGGCCCCCAAACCCAAAATTGAATTCTCGCCATCTCTCACACCCATTCTTATCAACTTCCGGTTTTTATATCAACAAACCCGACGCTTCCGTTCCATCTCCTCCTGCCTATAACATTTCTAGTACAGGTTAGACACATACACTGTGATACACAACACACAATGAAGTTCACATCATTTATTTTAGCCATAGCCCTCCTAGCCTTCTGAACAACACACAAAATAGACATCGACCATTCATTAGGCCTATCTACACTCGCCGTCACACCGACACACACACAACCACACTACCTGGCACTATACCCATCCCTTCTGACAAGACTAAAACATAAGACAATCAAACCCAGCTGCACATACCTTTTCATCCTCCTACATTCCATATCGTCAGATACAGAATTAAACCCCGGTCCGAGAGCCCCTAGATACCCCTGCGGTACCTGTGGCAAAGCAGTCACATGGAAATCCAGTACCATATGCTGTGATACGTGTGACACCTGGTTCCATGTCGTCTGTCAGGAAATGAATAAATCATTCCTCATATTTGACAACACAAGCATTGACACATCAAACAGATTTTCACGACTTCACAACTCTAGCATACACTCAAGCTTACATGAGGACCCCACCAGCACAGGCCTACCCACAGCATCCTCCTCACCAATTAAAACAAAACAACAAGACTGACACTAGCTACAACACATTTACTAAACCAATACGCATAGCCACCATTAACTTCGAATCCATTTCCAACAAAAAACCTGACCTCGACCAAATAATAGACTCGCACAAACCAGACATCATAATAGGAACAGAAAAATGGCTCAACAGCACAATCTCCTCATACGAATACTTCTCAGTCACCGAATACACTGTCTACCGAAAAGACCGCAACCCAAATAAACATGGCCAAAGCCACGGAGGTGTACTACTTGCAACCACAAAAAAAATACCACACAGACCAGATTAAATAATTAGAAACAGACAATGAATCAATTTGGGTAAACATCTCCATGACGACTTCACACAATCTCACCATAGGAGCATATTATAGACAACCATCAGACAAAGGACACTCACTAGAACAACTAGGTCAAAACAACAACACAACTTACATTCGTAAGTGGAGATTTCAACTTACCACACATAGACTGGCAAAACAACACAACCATACCAGGCAAACAAGAACAAAAAGTTCACCGGCACCTTCTGGACATCATAGACAACAACTCCCTCACACAAATAAAGACAAAGCCCCCCAGAGGAAACCACATAATCGACCTGACACTTACAAACAGACCATCAATCATTAACAAGACTGAAACCACACCACCTATAGGTAAATCTGACCATGACATAGTCTACACTGAAATTGACGTTCGACTGAAAAGAATAAGAAGAGAACCTAGAAACATATACCTCTACAACAAGGCTGACTGGAACAACATAGGAAACGACCTCACACTTCTAAACACAAAACTTAACGAACAACCTAACCAAACCGCAGACAATCTTTGGAACATGTTCAAAACACTTGCTAATTCAGTCACCAAAAATATTCCTCAAAAACACATCACATACAAATCCAAACTCCCTTGGATAACACATTCTCTTCTTCGACGCCTGAGTCATAACTACGAAAACAAACACGCAACGCATATCTTAACTACTTAAAAAAAAATTATAAAAGACCTACCAATAGACGAACCCAGCACACCCTCGCCTTGCACAAAATTCAATTTCAAAAAACTATTCTCCTACATAAAAACCACAAAAAAAAAAAGAAAACACCGACATAACCGCATTAGGTAAAGACGGACAACTAAAAACTGACACTACATGCAAGGCAAACATACTAAACGAACAATTTGAATCTGCCTTCACCACAAAACAGGACTGCCCCATACCAGACAAAGGACCTTCTCCACACCCTCTCATGCCAGAAACACACATCACAGAACAAGGCATCTATAAACTACTCAACAACATCAACCCACATAAAGCAACAGGACCTGACAATATTCAGTGACATCACAGCACTCATTCTCACAAAAATCTTCACCCACTCACTCACTACAGGAGCACTACCATCAGATTGGAAACACGCAAACGTAAACCCAGCAAATTACAGACCAATTTCACTAACCTGCATCACACGTAAACTCATTGAACACATCATAACAAGCGCCACAATGAAACAATATTATATGACCTACAACATGGCTTTAGATCCTCCAGATCCTGTGAAACACAGCTCACCACATTCATACATGATCTCGCATTAAACAACAACATCAACAAACAGACATCATCATTATGGACTTTGCCAAAGCTTTCGACAAAGACCCACACAAACGACTACAATACAAACTCAAATACTACGGGATAACAGGGAACACACTCTCATTGATTACAGACTTTCTCTCATTCCGCACCCAAACAGTAGTACTCGAGGGCAAACAATCAGACAAAATACAAGTAACCTCTGGCGTCCCTCAAGGAACCTTTTTGGGCCCCATCCTTTTCCTCATCTGCATCAATGACTTCCACGAATACAGGAAATACAGTACACTTAGACTGTTTGCAGACGACAGCATCTTATACAAGACGATAAACAACAAAGAAGACACACTAAAACTACAACATAACCTTGACGCAGCAGGACAATGGGAGACGGACTGGCTAATGAAATGTCACCCTGACAAATGCAACATACTCAACATTGCACCGAAACGCAACAAAATACACCATGACTACAAACTCCGCAGCCACACATTACACCAAGTAGAATCCAGCAAATACTTAGGCATAACATTTACTACGATGGGACAAACATATTAACAACATCACAGCCAATGCCAATAGGTCCCTATGTTTCCTTAAACGCAACTTAAAAATAAACTCACCACATATAAAAGAACACGCATACAAAGCACTACTCAGGCCAAAACTTGAATACTGTTCTTCCATTAGGGATCCACACAACACAAACCAAATTAAACAAATAGAAAAATACACAACAGATACCACAACACTAGCTCCGTAACATATATGATCCACAAACTCCAATGGCCAACACTACAAACTCGGTCCTGTCACACAAGAATTATCCTTTTTTCACAAAATTGTGCACCAAACAGTAGCCATAAACCCAACTCAAACATACTCACCACCGTAGACCCTCGAACCAGATATGCACACCCTCACGCATACAAACACATATCTGCTACAAAGGACACCTACAAATATCCATTCTTCCCACACACAATAACACAATGGAATCTCCTTCCCATAGCAGTAGTACAATGCACAACACCAGAGGATTTCAATCCACACTTACCCTATGCAGCCCTTGAAGCCCTCATCACACGCTAAAAACATACGTCAGCTTTTATCTTATATCTATACCTTGCACAAAAAATCACAAAAAATCAATAATAATCACTGTAAATATCCCCCTTTTACACGCCTCTGCAATAGGAGCCCCGAGGGCATAAACATCAAAATTGATGGAGTCCCCGTAAAAATAAAGAAGAAAGAAGAATATCTTTACTCTTGATATGTACATCTATCCACAAGCCGTCAGCAATCGTGGTGTTGCCTTCTGTTACCCAAAATTGGTTTGTTTTTTTATTAGAGAGCTTATCTAGAAATTGCAGCAATACTATGATTTGTATTCGGGTGCTCACGATGAAAGTATTCTTGAAACAGCAACTCAGATGAATATATGTAACGATAACTGATTTTCTCATGTGATAGTTTATCGATGTCACTTGGATATTTTAATCTCGTGTGACGTCATTGTTGAAGTGTTTATTTCTGGTATATGAACCTTCCATGGGATGTCGGTGATGAAGTCAGTGATATGTAATGTCCCTGTTTGTCATATTTAGCTCTTCCGGATGAAATCATCATGGGCATTCATTGATGACTAAGTTGGGAAATTGTTTACGAGGAAACAAAACTATACAGTGAAACTAAAACCAATATACTACATGCACATAACTCAAGATATAAAATTATAAATAGCCTGTAATACTAGCCTCGGTGACCGTTTATTTATAGATATATGCATGTAGAATTTGTGTATTACGTGGTGTAAATGTTCCATTATCAATGTTTTCTGTACTGTATAGAACGATTTGTACATAGAGAGGAAAACATTATAACATATGTAAATATAGGAAGCGATGTATATAATAGTAAGTGTAAGGTAGCGTGTTGGGGCCAAATCCATGTTACAATGTCGTGATAACTTGGACTCGGATTCGGATTATTAAGCCTGATTCTTGTTACGTTTAAATGGATTTTATTAAAACTAGTGAAGTAATTTTGTTTTGACAACTATCACGATACTCTTCATTTACAGCGTATAACTCGATGTCTTATAGAACTGCTTATTAATTTGATATTGTCTTCGGAAAACGTCAATTATCGAATGAATCCATCTAATGGGATATTTATAAAGCAATATAAACAATATTTACCGTCACAATATGAGCTAATGTTGCATTGTAACACTTTTGCTCTCGGAAAGCCTGAAGTATCTAGAACGTAAATAGGCAAGCAACAGGAAATGTGTCCCTGAAATCATTGTCTGGATAGTGAGAAACTGGACTGCAAGTGTCGGGTAGTTAGAATGCTTAACGGGTAATGACTGAATAATGAGATATTTCAACGGGTAGTTTCTGTATTTAGGATAAATAAGCTACAAGTACCTGAATAGAGGGACAACTAGATTGATAGTACTTGAATGGAAGGACAACTTAGACGTGATAGTTCCTGAATAGAAGGACAACTGGATTGATGGTACTTGAATAGAAGGACATCTAGACCTGATAGTACCTGAATAGAAGGACAACTGGATTGATAGTACTTGAATAGAAGGACAACTAGATTGATGACAACTAATTTAACGCCCTTCCACTGGACCATTAAGAGTGATTAACATAAGTTTAAAAACCTGTTTCATAATTGTTGTAACATAAATAAAGTTTAACTAGTTTTGCAAGATAATGGGAAAACAATACAGGTGGTGGCTTGATAGAGGGAAACCAAATTGTTGGTGGCGAGATAGAGGGAAAACCAAATTGGTGATGGCGAGATAGAGGGAAAACCAAAATGGTGTAGGCGAGATAGAGGGAAAACAAAATTGGTGTAGGCGAGATAGAGGAAAAACAAAATTGGTGCTGGTGAGATAGAGGGACAACTAAATTGGTGCTTTCGAAATAGAGGGACAGCTTGATTAGTGGTGGCCGGATAGAGGTAAAATTAAACTGGTGATGGCGAGATAGAGGAACAATTACATTGGTGCTGGAGAGATAAAGGGGAAACCAAATTTGTGCTGGCGAAATAGAGGGACAACTTGATAAGTGGTTGCGAGATAGAGGGACAAATAAATTGGTGGTGGCGAGATAGAGGGACAAATAAATTGGTCCTGGCGAGATAGAAGGAGCGCTCGATTAGTGGTGGCCGGATAGAGGGACTAATACATTGGTGGTGGCGAGATAGAGGGACTAATACATTGGTGGTGGCGAGATAGAGGGACTAATGAATTAGTGCTGGCGTAAAAGAGGGACAACTTGACTGGTGATGGCTGGGTAGAGGGACAACTTAACTTGTGGTGGCGAGATAGAGGGACAACCAGATTGGTGGTGACGACCTAGAGGGACTT